CAAATCGTCTTCCGAACAGATATTTTCCCGAAAATTGTCGTTGGGTGCCCCTGAAGCAACCACAAGGACTACAAGTATTTATTCAGATAAACACTTTTCGGAAAAAAAAACCTTGAAAAACTAGAAATTTTATTAATATTGAAGCATTTAGCCGAAATAAGAACCTTAACGCTTTTAAAAAAAAAGAATGGCTGAAGAAAACGAATCCTGTCAGAACTACAGACTGCAGCCGGGTAGTAGTTAATTATTATGCATGTAACAGACCAGCTTCATGGCCTCTTAATGTGGGACAAGCAACCAAAATTAAGTTTACATGGTCAGAGTTTAAAACTGTCCACAGTATAATCTACCCGCTAGAAAGAAAAAAAAGAAAATCTCTGAGGGATGAAAACGCTAAAGTCACGTTTCACTAGCTTATGATTGTTTGGCCTGTCAACACCGAATTTCCTGCTGTTTTATGAAGTACAATAGCAGTGTCATTTCGTCGTTGTGATTGGCTCTTCCCACCGTCGGCGCGCGAAGTGGGAACCGTTCTAATTATAAATCTACTCGGGAAAGGGTTGACTCCAAGGGCTTGTATGGGAGATGGAGGCTTCATTTGATGGGCTCCTGCGACTGTACGTTTCGTAAAAATTGGGCAACTTGCGAAATTTTTTTGGGCAAATGGTTTACCGCCCCCCCGGCAAAAAAATTCCCGTACGCCTATGAGCTCATGAAAAGTTCGGCGTCTGAACCGGGCCTAAGTCTGTCGAGCGCGCGTGATAAAAAATAAAAACCGCGGGGGATTTCTATTACTGACCGCGCTCCGCGCTTGGCAATGAGTTCGAAAAGAACGAAAAGAAAAATAAAACATCGTTAACGTCTGTGTACAGGCTAAGGAAGGAATAGCCAGCAATGCTTGGCTTGAAAAGCTACCGTAAAATTCCGAAAATAAGCCCATAAAAGCATGGTAAAAGCCCCTCCTAAAAATATAGGCCCCCCAAAATCTTAACGTAAAAAAACCCTCCGTTAAATCGCCCCTCCAAATATAAGCCCCCCGGGGGGCTTGTACTCGGAGATTGCCCTCAAATACAAAGTAAAACAAAGCAAAAACGTTAAATTCCTTCCAACTATAAGGCTAGCCCAATGGATTTTGAAACGCAAATTTCCCTCCATAGAT